CAGATAGTACACCCATACTGTCAGAGGGGATGGACTGTTTGCCAAAAGAGAAGAATAGCGGGGGGAGGAGTGGGGGCCACATATGAGCGGGTAATTCCAATCTTCCCAAACTACTTGGGAAGGTGAACTTACCCTTTATGCTGGATCACACTTGGGTGAGAGCGTTTTTGCTCGTTTCCACACGCATTTTTGTTGCATGTTTTATGCGCTTAAATCAAGTTGCACGTTTTTGCGGGTAGACTGTGACACATTGATATAAATGAGCAAACTTGTGTTTTTGAGCGTTTCTATTGAAGTTTATGGGGCCAAGAAGCGCTTAATCTGTCAAAAAGCTCATGTACTTTTTCCGATGACGGGCAGTTTTTTACAAGCGACAAAATGCTCTCATGTGAACATGGCCGTAGTAATGAATAGGATTTTGTTTTGGGTGCTTTTCATTTTAGCGTTTTTCAGGACAAAAAAAGCACTACAAAACACTAGTTGTGAACCTGGTCTTAATGCACATTGTGCATGTTAGAAAGCACTGCTGCCCAGCTACCAAAATATGGTACACAGTGGAATGGGGCAGCACTTAGTGTACACACACACATTACCCATTTGCATGCAGATGGGGGGGTTGGTATTAATTTGTATTTTTTTTTTCTTATTGTTATCACACCGGGCTAATAAGGGGTTTAAAACATAAATACTTCTTTACCTTCCTCACAAGGAAATATCCATCTTGTTCTGTATTTTCCTGAAACATCAGCAGACTCGCCACACCCTCGGTGGGAAACATGGGATAGTAGATATGGTAGACACGGCACATTTTTCCAGTCTAGTATCTGAAGCCAATATGTTAAGCCTGTTTGGAGACATAGAGTTAAGTATATACAGATCCAGTGTGCCTTCTTCTGTAGAAGGATCCTATCTCCTCTGCGTCCAGACATTTCAAGATAGTATATTCAATAAAACACCAAGCCCTGAGTGATTGTGGAAAAGTATCTGGTCTGGATATGGGGCTTAAATAATGTGCTCTGTCTACTCTCCCACCTTTTGTGAAATCAGAATGGCAGTTATATGCTCATTAGACTTATGAAATCTGTTTATCTGGAGGTTGTATAACAACTAATCTTTTGATTGGAGGTATTGAGCTTCCCTTGTTGTATAAATGCACTGCAATAATCTGAACTTTTACCTCATGCTAATATAGAGCTGTATCCGTTCAGAATATATACATATATATTTTTAGCAACCATTGCCATGTAGTTTTTCCAGCAAGATATTACCATCCATAGAGGGAGCAATGGTGTTGCTGAAGTGTGCGCTGTCTGCTTTCACTTTGGTCTGGACATACCTTGTTTGTTCAGCTTTCCTTTCCATGCGGTCAAGGGTTAGTTGTCTTAGGCTTCGGCCTTTACCTTTTTTATATATTCTTGTTTTTTGACCTGTTTAACAGTTGGGTCTAAGTTTCTTACACGATTTTTCTTTATGGTGGTTGAATGGGCTATCCACCATATTCTTGTGGAGGTCCATCATTCTTTCAAATAGCAGTCTCCCTCTGTTGGTGCTACCTGGGCTGCTCCAGGAACACCAGATTCATTCTTGGTGACTTTCCTTGTTTTTAGCAATCCCTTTATTTGCTTCCTAAGTTTTTCATCAAGCCTTGTTCAGGGATTAATTCCTTTTACCACATCCATTGGATCTCTCAGCAGCTGTTGCCCACCCCTCAGTTGGATTGCTTTTCATTGTCCCAAGTGTTCAAACATTTACTATATAATATTTTTTATTATACTTGCTATAAAATCCTTTTTCTTTTAGTTCATAGAGGGACACATGTACTGCTTGGTCACAGTACAGAGGAATGATGGTTAAAGGCGGGGTTTTAAGGGGGCTGGCTTAATCTTCTTTTTCTCTAGTCATCTTCCAGGACAGCATCAGCGAGATAGGCTTCTCCGACCGGAACAGGAAACACATCACCCACACCTAGTAAAAAAAGAGCACACAACTTGCATACCTCAGTTTGTTTGTGTTTCCTCCGGCCATGCAGGACATGGTAACGCTTGTTGTTTTCAGCTAGGCCTTCGTGATATTGGGCAGTGGCCTCCCTTTCATGAGTACGACATGCCCCCCCCGTCCTCCCCATCTGTCCTTTGGATCTTTTTTTTTTTTTTTGGCCTAAGTTTCCCAGCAAAGAGACGCAAGGCAACCATCCTGTTGGTGTAGAGGACTCAGTGGAGTACCTCCTATTACTGCGGCTGCCCATTAGGTTTTTTTTAACTTTGCCTTACCCATCAGAGGCCGTCTTTTTTTTTTTTTGCCAGTGTCCAAACATACTAAGGTGGCACTGTTACACAATTGTTCAAGAACTACAATATTCCTGTGTCCCTCAATGTGCTACAAGAAAAAGATTTTGTGGTAAGTAAAAAAACAAATAAAAATCTTATTTTTGGAGTGTTCTGTAGCAAGATCGGAAGGGTTAGGACCTGATATTTTCAGCTAAGTGTTGGACCTTAGCTCTCGCTGACAGCTGGCAGTTCTAGCACAGAACTCATATGAGACCTGTTTTAAAACGGTTGTAGGACACGTAAGTGCTATTGTGCTAAAAAAAAAACTCTGCTTCTGCTTTACATATAGTTTTGTTTCGTCCCCCTCAATATTTGTCTGCCAAAGCCACACACCAGTTAGATTTTCCTTGGCTTTGGTTTGCTAAATCAGCAGAACTTAAAGAGGAACTCTGGAAAAATCACAAACCTACCTAAGTGCTCCTAGGGGCCCCCAAAAAAAGCTGTTTTACTCACCTGTTCCTCGGTCCTGCAGCTGTCTGCCTTCTCTCCCACTCTGCTTTGGCTATAGAATGGTCCTCGGTGTCCTCAAGTCAATTGCAGGTCAATGGACCTTCATAAGACATGACCTCAGCGGTTCTTAGACCACCAGAGCCCAGGGGTCTAACAGCCCGGAAGGAGTCATCGCGACCGAGGATCAAGTAATAAAATCTGTGATTTTTCTCAGAGTTGTTCTTTAACAGTAATTCTGTACTGTGAAGGCTTAGATGATTGGATACAAATCTACAATGTCTGTCTTGATCTCTACTTTGATGCCCATGTATTGGTCCTGTCTTTGGCCACGTTCACATCAGCATTTCTGGTGCGGTGTGATAGTAAAAGTCCTTCTTGCTGTATCTTTGGTGTGGTTTTCAGGACAGCGCATGTTACAATGCACCACACCTAAAACGTGCATATGTCAACAGGTCTTTGGAGATAATTTTTATGATTTGTATTAATCTTTAGTTGGGATTTCCCAGGATAATGGCTATAATGCCATGGTCTCTCCCATAATTTTCCTTTATGCTCACAGTGCTGTAATATACGCACACTGCAAATCCAGAGCATTTGTTTTTTTGTTTGAACTTTTTACCTATTATGAATATATAGAATATTTGTCATCTACACCTGTTTTCAGCTTCCAAATACAATTTAACATGCTACTGTATATTTTAACTGCCAATTGTCCAACTGTATTGTGTACTGCCAACTGTCCAACTTTCAATCTATGGTAAACAATATTTGCCTCATTTGAAACCCCATTTTCTCTAATATTGTTTACATAATAGTTTTAAGGGGGAGAGGCGTACATTGAGTTTAACCCGTGCTCAAGGGTTTACACTAGTTCCCAAATTTCAATCTATGGTATTTAGATTTTTGCTAACGATTGAGAAAATACATAAGATACAGTAATGCACAGTCCAAACAAGGTATGTTGTACATTCAGAGGTTTCTAATTATATAAAGCAAACAAAGTAATGAGTCTGATTTTAATAATTTTTCCAAGACCAATCAGTAAAATGTTGTTTGAACATGTAGTATGCTATTGTTCCTAAGAGTTTATACTCGGGATGCACCGATACTTGTATCGGTATTGGCACCGATACCGAGTATTTGGTACATTACGGGTACTGGACCAAATGCTCAGATGCCTTTCCGGATACTGAAACGTCTGGATACTGGAGATTTCCTCTGACCGGCAGTGCCACGAGGAAACATGGAGACGGGAAGCTGGCTCCATGCTGTTTGGCCGGCTTGATGCTGATTGGCCGGGAAGCCGGCTTCCCGACCAATCAGTGTCGAGCTGGGCAAACATCTGATAATATGGTGACACAACCCCCACCTGGCAGGCACCTCATTCCCCTCAGGAAGATCCTTAGCAACAGTCATTGGCCAGCTGGACAGACACCGCTTTCCAAGATCTGCCCATGTCTCTTGTGTGCAGCGCTCCCACGTGATCGGCCCTCAGCCTGCTAATGCGCATGCACAGGATTTCTGAATGAGAGCGCTGGGCAGTCTGCAGTAGCGGGCTGATCACGTGGGCGCTGTACACACAGGAGACGTGGGCAGATCGGTGTCAGCCCAGCTGGTCGAGGGACTGGTATGTTAATGAATGCTGCTAAGGATCTATGTGAGGGGAATGAGGTGCCTGCAGGGTGGGGGTCGTGTCACCATATTGTCAGATCTGTTTGGTCGGCCTCAATGCCGATTGGCTGGGAAGCCGGCTTCCCGGCCAATTAGCATCCAGCCGGTCAATCAAGAAGCCAGGCGGTGGGTAATGACATGCCGTCTGGCTTCCTGATTGCCCGGGAAGCCAGCTCTATGCTATCAGAAGTATCGGTACTCACCGATACCGAGTACCGATATATAAATATCGGTACTCGATACCTGAAAAAACGGTATTGGTGCATCCCTAGTTTATACACAAGGATAAGGACAGCTGCATTTTTCTTGAACTTAAATATAGGTTATTGGCTTCGGCAAAAGAAATAACATATTAGAAGAATAAGTGTTTGATTCTAATGCAGTTGGGTTTATTAGAGTAGTTGAATGTATGAATTAAGCAATTTATAAGCTTTGGCAAGAGTAAAATATTAGTATAAGCCTTTGATTCTATGGCAGTTGGGTTTGTTACAGTAGTTGAACCGAATGCATGAATTAATAATGTAAGTGTTTTCCTTAATTATATTTCCACAGTATCTGGCGTGGCCCTAATGTGAATTGTGTTGACAGCTCAGGATACACCCCTTTACATCACGCCTCTCTTAATGGACACAAGTAAGTGCTTGAAGTTTCTACATTAACATTACAAATCTCATATAAGTGCTAGAATTTAAAGGGAAGCTTACCTCAAGAGTTGTGAGATAAGAAGCTAAAGTATTATTGTTTTATGTTTTCTGTGTAATAAGCTTATAAGCAGGGAAAGGCAGTGGTTGGGCAAGGTTTTCCAACTTACATGATGCATAACGCTATAGTTTAATGGGACAGAAACTTGTTTGTCTAACCCTCTTTTCCCTGCAATCAGTGGTTATGTATCTTATACATAAATATAAGCAAATACCTATGTATTGCAAGAGAATGTTTAAATTAGTAGTGTCCAATGTAAAAGGCCCAAGTGGAGGATCACATCTTCCTTTCTCCCCCCCCCAATTTAAAACCGTCAGATGATGGTCATAGGTATCAGAATAAAACCAAGAAAATACATTTAGTGATAACCCCCTCCCAGGAAGTTCCATGCTTAGGCAAGTCTTCCCTTTGTAATGCCACTGTACCACCCTGTCACCCCAATCTGTATGGAAAAGAGGTGCTGCCACAGGCTTATACTAGGGTTTCTGGAAAGTGGCGTTCCGTTCAGAGCAGAGGACGCAGTAATAGAACCACCCTTCATGGGAGTCAGTAGCAGCAATTATAACTCTCACTAATGATGTCAGTGACAGTGGCAACAATAATACCCCCACCCACCCCCGTGGCTTGCCTATGGCTGTTCACATCTGCTGCAGAGAATGCTGGGAGTAGTAGTCTTTCCAGAGTCCTTTGATAGTATATACAGTTAAAAAGGGCACCTCTGGAACCTGTCCAGGGGCAGCCAGAGACATGTGGAAGCAGAGGCAGGGAAGAGGGGTGCAGTGCACACAGCACCTTGCTTGCTTTCTATATCAGGGCTGTTAAACTTGAGCTCCGCCAATTGGACAGCCCTGATCTAAACAGTCCATTAAATGTATGTGTTATCAGGTTGGCCTACATCTGAGTAACAGTTGATACATGTAATGGAGACCAGCTTTTGTCTCGCTCCTATTTATTGTTGCAAAGTAATGTAGGGTATACACTGCTATATGTTTTTCATTCAACCTGCAGGCTGAACAAAAAAAATATAACAGATTCCTCCATCCATGCTTAATAGTATGGTTGGAATAATTTCCCACTGCAAGCTTTGCATTCTGATAGCAGTGCCGGCCAATATCAGAATATCTGAACGGTGCTTGCAACTGCAGTATCCAAATTCCTGCTGAATCGTCCAAAATGTGTTTCATGTGTAGTCTGCTTTAGTATGTGCAGTGTATATCTTGCTGGAGAATAGTAGCATGACATGAGTACATTATCTAATGTTGAGACCTCTATATTCCTACAGGGAGGTTGTGGAAGTCCTTTTGAGGAATGAGGCTGTAACAAACATTGCAGACTGTAAAGGCTGCTTCCCCTTGCATCTAGCAGCGTGGAAGGGAGATGCTCAGATTGTGCGCCTTCTCATTCACCATGGACCTTCACATGCAAAAGTCAATGAACAAGTAAGTTTGAATGTTTACCTCCTCTTTTTAAATACTGCTTTTTGTTTCTCTGACATTAAGAAAATGTGTTCACAGATGTATTTATCTTCGTATTTGTTAATCACAATTTTCTCTGATTTTATACGGTTAAAGTACAGTAAAGAAGTGAGGGGTTAGGACCACCCTTAGGCTTCATTTGATGTCATTGTCCCCATTGGGGAGATTCACTCTCTAATGTTCCTGATCACCATTGTTACTGTGAATAAAAGTGAGGGTAAATCCAAAAATTTTAACTGTCACCAGAACAGAAATAGATGGGAATTGCAATGGGGAGACCTATTCCTGTGACAACTTGTAACGGACTATCTTCCTGATGAGTCCGTTACAACTTCACAACACCCCCCCAGTGATCCTAACTAAGGTTGCACCGAAATTATGTCCGCCTAAAAAGTTTGGCTAAAACTTGTATTTTGGGCAAAATGCCAAAAGTACAATACCCCCCCCCCCAAAAAAAGCTTTCCTTCCACACCGCCCCGCTCACCCTCCTGTGACGAGCAAATCAGGATAAAGAGTGGTGTGGGGAGGAGAGCTTTTCGGCAAAACAATTGTCACTAAAGTGTTTGTAAATTTAATGAGGACATAGTATGCTTCCTGTGTCCCCAATTATGAATGAATAGGAAGTGCTCTACATCACTTACTGTTCATTCATGATTGTGGCTATAGTAACTGACACTATATCCACAGTTATGAATAGACAGGACCACTTGGTATAGAGGCTTCCTGTTCATTTATAACGGGGGCTGCAGAAAAAGAGATTTAGGACATTGTGTTCTCAGTCCTCTTCTATTTCTATTTCCAAAGGTGAATATCAGGGGTCTGTTGACATCCTTGATATTTCCCCAAAACCCCCGACGGTAAAAAATAAATAAAAATAAAATATAATTTTTTTTGTAAAAAGGTCAGAAAAAAAAAATTCAGTTTATGCCAGATATATATATATTTTTTTCTTTTCGGTTTCAGTCTGAAAATTCCATTTCTGTGCACCTCTAGTTTTAACCATTTCTTACTCCTATCCAGAATAAAAATGAAATGAAGGTAAAACTTAACTCCAGCCTTAAGGTGCCCATACACTGGCTAAATTTTGGCTGGTTTTTAATGTGCCAGCCAAAATTCGCACTGTGTGGGGGGCTGTTGGCTCCCTTTTAGCTGGCATTCCTCGATCGGCTGATTTAAAGGAGCCGGCTGGAAAATCTTTGTATGATTAGTGCTGGCAACCAATGAGCTGCCCGCTCTTTTTGTTTTTTATTTAGGAATCGCGTCAGTATTTTTTTCCTTGAAATAAAAAAACTGATAGGTGTATGGCCAGCCTTAGCTTCTGTCGTGCACAGTTGTGCAGATTCCTCTCCTGTACTGAAATTGTTTAATCTGATTTCACTGCACACTATGAATCCCCTGTATTTCCTGGCTGAAAGACATCCACCATCATCTAGCTATTTCCTCCCCAGCCTGACTGTCCCTGGCCCACCCCTTTTATTCAATGGATTTCAGTTCTTTCAATTAAGGAGGCTCAGCTTTGCATGAGGGCATTACCCAGGGGGATTTTTGCACTGAAATGCAGCTTGTCTAGGAATGCCCACTTCTCCAGGTTGACATCCACCCATCATAGCTCCTTTCAAGACCCAGTCCACTGCTTGCATTGGGCTAAGGGCTCCTGAAGGGAGTACTAGGGCAAATGCTGTGATGTTTTAAGGGTCTAAAATAAGACATGTAAGGAAAATAGGTTTTATTTAAAAAATGAATTGGCATGTTAATGAGACAGGAAGAGAGGAAATAAGGAAAGGCAAAAACATAAGCAGATAATTCTTCACCTTTTTAAATGCTGTGTTGTAGATGAATAGTCATATTCTTAAAGTCTATCCCCCATCTACCATTTACACTTAAATACCCTTGTGTTTTAACATTAAAGTGACAAACTCGGGAACTAAATCTTAAAAATGCGTTCAAGTATCTTAAAAATGTATCGTATCTTGTGTATATCACTTGGCTGTAGATCCTCAAATCATCTCCGAATTGGTGCTGAGACTGTCCTTCCTTCTGGAGGGTGACTACTTTGGTCTCAATGGTCCCTGTGTAGGTTGTAAAGTAGCCACCACTCCAAGCTCGCTTCCGTGATGGACAACAATCTCAATACAAATTAGTAAACAAAACATGAGATTGTAGTCCATCACGGGAGTGAGCTGGGAGCAGTGGCTACTCTACAACACACACAGGGACCATGGGGAACATAAGTAGCCACCCTCCAGAAGGAAGGACAGTGTCAGCTTGAATTCAGAGATGATTTGAGGATCTACAACCGAGTGATGCACAAACAAAATACGTTTTTGATAATAGTTAAGATACTTGTCGGGAGTTTAGTGTCACTTTAAGGACCCCTTTCCCCTTTGCATTGCGCTTTTTCACAAAAGGCCTCTTGCTTCTGTAGATACTGTTTTGCATACCTCAGATGTTGTTGTTTGTGATAAGGTTGCCAGTAAAACTTTTTCCCGACGTCCTTTCCATGCGGATCATATTTGTGCAAACAACGCTGCACCGTGGAATGGTGCAATATCACTCTTATGTCAAACCTTCCTGCATATCCTTTGCAGTCGTATGAGGTTATGAATTGGCCTTTCTGGCCAGTATACAAGCAGTTCTCTATGAAAGTTGTCTTGGTCTTCCAAATCCTGCCTTACTTTCCACAGTTCTCCTTTTACTGCCATTTCTTGATGACATTATAGGCCATAAAAATTGCAAGCTGGAAGCATTTTGCATTCTTTTTATAGGAAACATTTGGCTTCGTTTTCAGATTCTCACTCAGTTGCTTAAAGAAGCCCATAGTTGTTGAGTAACAGCTCAAAGTTTGGAACGTTGCCAAGGATTTTATTAAGCTCTGCAATTGTCAACACGTGACATCTCTTAATGACTTAATGCCTAATGAGGCAAATGGGGTCAGGAACCTCACAAAAAACAGTGTTTCACTTAAAAAATGGAAGGCTGTCCAATGGTGCCACAGCTATTTTCTTTGTTCCTACGTTTTAAAGTTTTGTAAATAAAATGCACATGCACAGTGCCATTTGCAAATATGTTGTTTTAAATACAGTGTTTCCTTCAAGAGTTGTTTACAAATTTCCACTTAGAAAATGTATATGTTACTAATATGTAATTTTGTCCAGGGGTGCCCAAACTTTAGTGTACAACTGTACAAGCATGAATGCATCCTTGCTATCCACGGAGCCAACTCCGTGCTGTCCTAGTAGTTTCCTTACTTCACTAACATCTACAGTACCATAACATTTCATCTCGATAAGTCACTGAGGCCCCAACATTAAACCGTCAAAGTCCAAAGTTATACCCCTTGTTTGGGGGAGCAGTTGTCCTTCATAAAAAAATGATGCTCTAAATATGTAAGTCATGTCAGTCCTCCAAGGCTGCCTTTTTTCGATCCCCACAGTTCAATAAGCCTAGATGCACAGAAGAACTAGAAAGGCACTTATAAGATTATCGAATGGGCAAACAAGTGACATGATGCATCAATTCGGAACTGTCATGTAGGGATCCCACCGCACTCCTGGCTGAAAATGCCCCAACTTCCAATGGGGGGGGGGTGCTGAAATGACAGCGGATGGCGCAGCTGGATCAGATAAACAAAACAGTAAGTCACTAGCACTCCAAAGGTTCTCCAAGCAAAGTTCCTTTTATTCCATGTGTACCGTTACATCACCAAGTGTAGCAACGTTTCGGAATGCATCCGGTTCCTTCATCAGGCAAAGTGAAGTAAAACAAAGTGACTTTGTTTTGCCTGATGAAGGAATCTGATGCGTTCCAAAGCGTTACTACACTTGGTGATGTAACGGTACATATGGAATAAAAGGTACTTTGCTTGGAGAACCTTTGGAGTGCTGGTAACTAACTGTTTTGTTTATCAATTCGGAACCAACACCATACAATGTACTATGGCTAAAGCTCTTAATAGAGGTATCCAATCATGTTGTAATACCAAAAGACAGTCCTCTCGTTATGCTTCATAGTCACTGTTCCATACTTTCAAATGGGTTCTGTTACTCTGGATTCAAACTGCAGGTGTAAACGAATGTGCTCCTATAAGCGTTTAAGAAAAATCTCACTTGCAGCAGAAGGACTCACCTGGTACGGTGGCCGGGATGCACAAAAACAACATGGAAAATTGTCTCTGTGTTAAACCACTTGCTGCCCAGAGCAATGTCTTACTATTTGCACACACATGATTAAATCTGATTTTTTTTTTTTTTTTTTTTAGCTAAAAAACAGCTTAAAACCCCCAAACAAAGATATATTTTCTGAAAGCAGAGGCCCTGTAGAATTAAAAAAAAAGCTAGTTGGAATTTTTATGTCGTTCGTTATTTGTGCAAACGTTTATCAGACCAGTATTTAAACCAGTATTTTTTTAGGATAAAAGGCACTAAAATTAAATTCAGTGCACAGAAACAAAATGTAATGTCCAATTTTTGGGTAAACTATAAAAGATCGGGTCACGTCGGGTAAATTGATGCCAAACATGTCGAGCCTTGAAACTACAAAAAAAAACTACAGTACCCCAAAATTCCCCTTTGGCAAAGCTTTCACTGCTCATCAGTTTAGTGTTAACAGTTATTGATGGCCCTAGAATTTTTGCTCACTCCTATTCTCATGGATTTCACACTTTTTTTGCTATCGCATGGCATATATGATGTGATAGGTACTCTTTATGGAGACATCAGGGGTCTGATGTCACCTTAGGTCCCCCAAAGAAGTTGATGAAGCAGAGATCTGCTTCCCCAACTTCTTCTCCTGGCTCTAGAAGCCAGAGAATGTGCCCAGTGACACCAGCAGTGATGTAATACACCTCACTTCTGGGTCCAGTGATCGAAAGAGAGATCAGCGGCTAGAAGCTTGCTGATCTCCCTCCGATCAATGTGGCGAGAACCCGGAGTAGCCGGCGGCGGAGGTGGGGGGGCACACACTGC